CTTGTCCCCTGTGCTGTGGGGTCTCACCCATGGGATACAGTCCTTGATGATCTGATCTGGCGTGGGCTTCCCACAGGCAGCAGCTCTTCCAGAACTGCTCCAGATATGGGTCCGTACCACAGGGTTCATCCCTCAGGAGCAAACTGCTCCAACCTGGCTCCCCCACGGGCAGCAGCTCCTGCCAGGTCACCTGTTCCTGCGTGGTCTCCTCTCCACGGGCTACAGGTCCGGCCCAGAATCTGCTCCGGCAGGGGTCTTCCACAGGCGGCAGCCTCCATCGGTGCAGGGCCACCTGCTCCACCGTGGTCTCCTCCACGGGCTGCAGCGTGGAACCCTGCTCCACCGTGGTACTCCATGGGCTGCAGGGGGACAGCCTGCTTCACCATGGTCTTCACCAAAAGCCGCAGAGGATTTCTGCTCTGATGTCTGGAGCACCTCTCCCCCTCCTTCTTCACTGACCTTGGCACCTACAAGGCTGTTCCTCACTCCTCTCACTCTCCCAACTGCTGTATGGCGCAGCGTTTTTTTCCCTGTCTTAAATATGCTCTCACAGAGGCGCAAAACAACATCGCTTATTGGCTCGGCTCGGGTCAACAGTGGGGCCCTTATCAAACATGGGGCAGCTTCTGGATCCTTCTCACAGAAACCACCCCTATGGCCCCCTGCTACCAAAACCTTGTCACATAAACCCACTACAACTTATCAGCAGTTACAGTTTTTATGGAACTGGAAGCTCAAGTATTTTCCCTAGACACAGTTGTTCCAGTTGAATAAATTTTTCATTTTCTTTTTTTCCTTTGTTTTAATAGCTTTAATGATTATTTTAACAGCATAATTAGTCTGGCAAGCTGTACACATAGTCCTGTCCTCCGAGCTTTGGATGAACTTGGCCCAACTAAGACTGGAGGGGTGTGAGAAGCATGGAAACTGTGACAGTTTCCAAGATTTCTGACATAAAACCCAGCAGTTTTTGGAGGTATTTTGCTCTGAGGTTTAGGTGTTAATAGATGCTAGGAGCCAAGACAGAGAACAGAGGAAGATGAACCCATGGAGTTTTCAACTGGAAAGACTTTGAAAGAATCCTCAAAACTGCCAGTTCCTGAGTTTCAAATGGATCTAATTACACTTATGTATAAGACTGAGTCACTTCAGAGCAGTCCCTACTGCTCAGACGTGGCTGGGTGGAAATACACAAGGACTCAAGAAAGTCTGACTGAGCATCAGCCTCTAACCTCATTGCTCCCTCCATTAAAATAAATAAATAAATAAATAAATAAATAAATAAATAAATAAATAAATAAAAAATAAAAATAAATAAAAATAAAAAATAATAATAGAAATAAAAATAAAAATAAATCTCTCTGGGAGAAAAAAGGGAATTTAAAATTTTGTGGTTTTTCCTACACCTATGCCAACTCTGAATTAACCTAGTACTAGTAGAGATGTGCACAGGCCAGCACAAAGGAAAAAGAACAAAACAGCAGTGATTGCTCAGCAGTCAGCACTGTACATGGGGCAGGGATTTTCCTGGTCATTTTTATCCAGTTGATTACCACAATTTGCTGGCCAAATTCTGCCACATCAGCAGATGCACTTCTTAAAAGAAAGCCTCTCCCAGTTTTGCACAGGCAGCACTCTCAGAGTTTGCAGGGTTACTAGCACTTTTCATCAGAGATCCACTGTGAATTGCACTTTTAACCAAAGCCTTCAAAGATTAGAAAATTCTCACCACTGCTGGACATCTGCATATCCCCAAGTCGATTTATAAAAAGGGATGATCTTGTCCAGTTAAAATAGTAATATAATCCTTGCCTATAGCAATCTGAGACACGAACTTAAGTGCTGTGCATAGATATCCTAGGGAAGACAGTGACCAAAACACATGCTATTGTTTCTCATTTGTGGTTTGACTGATGTATGCAGGGAAAAGTAAGCAGCTTGGCCTTTTGATGGTCTGAAAGACAAAAGAATGGCTGTAATGAAATCATGAAACAGAGAGGGGAGGAAAATAAGAAATTAAAGAAAAAATTAGAAAATTTTCATTCTGAGCACTCAGGCAACACTTCAAAACTCTATTTAAAAAGGGAATGCTCAGTATCCCAGAGTAACAGTCTGCAGTGATTGAAATATAGCACCACGGGATTTGTTTAAGACTGAACCATGCTTTGTACTGCACTTAGATCTGCTGAAGGCAATCTAGAATGAATTATTATTCCATGGAAGCAGATATAGTCTAACTCTTACTTATTCAGCTGAAAGAAAACAATTCTCTCTGGGGCAATCTGTGGTCATCACGGAACCATAGAAGATGTGGAAGACTTTCACAGGGTTTCCCATTCTCCCACCTTAAGGGAGCAATACCCCTATCCACATGATTCCTGTGCAGTGTTTCTGCTCCCCTTCCTTCAGATTCTCAGAGCCCTGCTGATGTAGTTGGTCCTGGCATATTAAACCAGGGATGCTAAGTCAGGCATGGCGATGATAAACAGACAGGGGCAGTGCAGTGAAGAGCAGTGCAGAACTGCTTTTCAAATCTCACCCCAAAAGCTGGTCCAACATGTGTGTGAAACAGCTGAACTAGAACATCAAAACTTGTTGTAGGGCAAAATTCAAGCCCAGTATATTTAAGTATAGCCTGATGCACTAGCATTAATTGAACACTTATTAAAAAGTGTATACCACTCCTGAAACCATTTTTTTTCTCAATTCCTTCTTTCTGTGCATATATAGAAATGTGCTGATCCTTATGTTGTCTCACATGTCTCACAGAAGCCCAGTGATATATTCATAAGAACTGACTACCTAGTCTTTGATTAATACTTTAAATATACTGGTTCAGAACTTACATTACATTTCTGATTAGTATTCACACACTGCTTCCATTCAAATCCAAATCTGTCTGTTATCAGGTTAACACTAAGGCTAACAGCTTAATTGTCTCACATCCAACCACGCAACGTTACCTGTTATTACATGACATTATATTGCTAATAGTTTTTCAAATTTGTGTTAAATAACTGCAAATAAAAGATGTTTCATGATGTTCAAAGGACCTTTATTGATTTTGCCAGCTGGTGGGCTGGCATCCCATGTTCCAGATTTTCTCTCCTTATCCTGAGGTGAGTGGCCAAGCTCAACTAGACCAACCATGTAGCTTATCTTCAAAAGTTAAACTATAAAGATTTGCTTTTATGAATGTGTCCTTAAAAAAACTGTTTATCGGGAAACTTTTCTTTAAAAAAGAAAAATGTTGGAAAAAATGTTGGAAAAGATTCCTAAGTAATGTCAGAACCTCTTCTACTGGGAAAGGTTATTCAAGGTTTAATGATTGAAATTTTCCTTTGTAATGTAGTCATTAAGAACTACTGTTGTTTGCCTTTTGAAACAAAAATGCTAGCTTGGAAATACTCCTTTTTATTAAAAATAAAAAATAAAAATGATGTACAGCTGACAAAGTTCAAATAATTGGACAGAGCAGCAGAGCTTAAACCAACAATGCATTTGGCGCACAGACATGATATCTTTTTAAATCTTCATAGGGTCTTTTAGCTTACAGTGAGATATTTCAGAATCCCAGACCACTGCAGAATAAAGGGTTTGCTCTTTCAGGCTTGCACCAATTTCCAGTGATATATATATATCACTGGATATATATATTTTTTTTTTTCCAAATGTTCATTTCTACCAGGTCAGTTCATAGTCTACTTGGTAAAGACATAGTTTCTTTTACAGACCCGGTCTGGAATTCTGCCAAACTGTACCAAAATAAATAAATAAATAAAATTAAAATGAATAAAATAAAAAAGCCAGAAATATACTATTGATGAAGCATCAGTATGGTCTGTCATTAACAGTATTCTGTATTATTAACACATGATAAACCCCAAACTGGTAGAAAGCCAATAAAACGGATAAGGTAAAAGGAGTGCTAAAAATGAAAGCCTCTGGAATAGGTAGACACAAGCCCAGCAGTTGGCTTCCTGCCATACAGGATGTCTCTGGTAGCCTACCTTCTCAGGGGAGCCATGTAGCTTGTGATTAAAACATCACTCAGCTTTAAGTTTTAAAGTACTAACTGCTAAGTTTTAAAGACCTCTAGTTTATGGCTCATACGACTTAATCTAGATGCTATGAGCTTTGCCATGTCTGCCCCATTCCAAAAGTCAAAATACTATCTAGAGAGATAATACTGTGTCACATTGGTTTTGTGAACTGGCTGCAACTGAGTGGAGGGAAAAAAAAATAAAAAAAAAAAATTCTATTACTTCTCCACGTCCTAATGTGAACAGCTCTAATCTGTCCTTGTAGTGAGCCCAGTATGATTTGTTTACATCCCACTTGAGACTGAATGTTGAATTTTCCCAAGTGTTAACTTAATGTTACTGGCCAGCTACACTGGCAATGATGTTTAGCAAGTCACTCATTTTGCAGCAACGTGATGATGTTCCAAATAACAGACTGGTATGCCTTGTGGGAAGGTCTCACATTGTCCTCAACCGAATCATCATGTAAAGCCTTTGAAATTTTTCTTAGTAAGTGGAACAAAGTTGTAGGTCAATCATATTTGCACTTCACTTGACTGAACAATCTCAAAATAAAGTCATCTTGATCAAGCCAAGTCCACAATGAACTTAAGTCATCAAGAAACTCAGTAAGCTTCCTGGTGCACTGAGAGACTCTCAGAAATGTAGGACTTACACTGTGGAGGGAAGACCAGCTAAGGATGGAGGGAATCCATTTAGACATCCACGAGAGAAAGTAGTGGAATTAATATTTATTGTCAACACAAGTAAATATGCTGTAAGAGGGACAAGTGTGCTGACAACAAGAAGTTGAGAGAGAGACTCAGTAACCTTGTAGCAGCCAGTTAAGATATAACAATGGAAACAAAAAGGTTGTGTCACAAACCCTGTGTCCCAATTCCTGTGGCTGTATTTTGACATACCCCCTTCCCCCAAAACAACAACAAATTATTTTTTAAAAAATGCTCTCCTGCTTACCTGACTCTGTGACCAGGAACTAAGCCCACCATGATAAATGCAGCAAGTAAAGCTCTGCCAAGTCCTGAAGTAAAAATCTTTGTGACAGCAGTGAAGGAAAACGCCTGTATGCTGCTGTTCCTCATGCTGTCCTTTTCCCATGACTGGAGAGCCATGATTTCCAAATCTGGCTGCTCAACAGCTGATATGCATTCTTATTGCATGAAATATGGTGTGGAGGTTAAATATACAACAGGATGTTAAAAAAAAAAAAAAAAAAGGCAGAAAGTCAACCAAACCAGACTCAGGATAAATGTGGTGACAGAAGAAGAGCTTGATACAGAAAAAAAAAGTGACCTCCCCCTCAAAAAAAAACACAAGAGAAAACCAAGCCACTAGCATAAAAAATATATATTTTTTTTAAATCCTTGAAGGCTATAAATTCAGTGCAAGGAGACAGCAACAAAAATATAACAGTAAGTGTACTGAAAAATCATGCTGTGAGAAAATGCTTTCTGCAGCACTGGCAACAAATCTGAGGTATTTCTTTGACACACTCCCCAGTTTTGCTAAATAAGTATGGAAAATTTATGGAAATTAAATTTAGTGATAAGCTGTTCCTGAAGCAAGACTGAAGGCTCGATTCCCTCCATCCACTTCAAACTCAGTTCAGTACACTGGAATCAAGCTGGAGTTCAAGCTGACCTGGAGACGGCAACCTCCAGGCGGGATAGAGCCCTGACCCCCTGCAGGTAAGTGCTGGAACATGGGGAGCCCCCGCTGGGAAGCCCATGACTCCCTAGGTACCAGCAGTCCTGTACTTGCACACCCAGACATGCTGTCACACAGGGACACCTGATGCATCCTGCAATGTTGTATTTACTCTTGCTTCACAGAGGTGTCTGTCCCATATGGATGCATAAATCAATGCACAGAAACCTGCCTAAGGCATATGGTAAGCATTGCTCTGAGGTGGCTATTTTATTATTCAGTATCTTAACATAATTTCAGTTGTTTTTCCATCTCTAAATGTCATTATCAAAATGCCAGCAGGTATATTTCAAATACAGTAAGAAACAAACTACTAGCATGCCAAAAAGTAAAGGTTAAGTTGCTCTCCGTTTAACATCAACTGCTGTGAAATTGTGAGCGAGGCCAATGGACTGACCTTCCTGTTGTGGAAGGGACAGCAACAAATTCTCGACGGTCTCCAAGGGAAAACAAGGGAGACCTTGCAAACATCTCTCTGCAGGGGCTTTAAACAATTGCAAAGGTTCTTTCCCAGGGCTGAGCTGTATATTCCTTTGGCATACTTTCATGAAAGGGCTGGGTCTTTGAGGTTATCTGCAATGTGCTTAAACTCAAAGCATTAACATGCCTGTTAGCTCAGTACCCTTCACATAGTTTTTCTGTTATTAAGGAGTAATTATAGCTCAGAAAAGGAGGATCTCAGAGATGAGCTACTAGACTGAGGTGAAGAAAAGCAGGTCTCCAGCCTCTTTTCACGCCACTTTAGGCAAGAAACATGCTTCACATTTCTATTAACTCATCATGCTGCTTAATTCATAAGCTCTTTGAACAAAGGTGTTTTCTTTCCTTGTGTATGTAGGTACAGATCAGCAGCACTGTGTAACAATGGTCTAAGCCTCTTCACTAACAGTTACACACAAAGTGTTTTAAATATTGTGACAAGACCTGTGTTGCAATCCCCTATGTGAATAAAAGAATTTAAAACATTATATGGCAACTTTATTTCTACGCTTTTGAGAAGACTGAGCATTTAATTGCATCAGGTTTTGGTCACATTTCCTCTCAGCTTCCCAAACACATGTGCCTACTTCTTTACCTGCTTGCTAGTGATTTCCAGTCACTTGGGATGACATCCCTTTGCACTATTGACAGCATCAGGAAGAAAATTCCACCGATAAGCAGGTTCTGAGAACTGCAGCATGTATGTTAAGATTTTGTTGTCAACCACTGCAAAAAAAATAAAAAAAAGTCTGGGTTTGGAGGCAGCTGTGGAGCTCAGGGATATTTTAAATTGCCTCAGAGAATTAAAGTAAGACTACATTCAAGATCTTTTCACCGAGTCTAAGCATGCCAACTGAAGACATTTCAATAGATGACAAAGTTAATGTTGAATGTCATCTATTTTACTAAAAGAGATTGAGTGCTGCTTTGCAAATTGTATTTAAAGTGGATGGGCGTGGTATCAGCCAAGGTGTGATACTGTTAGTAGGCACATTTGCATACCATCCCCGCAAACAACTTACATACCTCTTCTCCACGGGCAACCCCTTCCAGCCCCAAGGCGGAGTGTTGATACATTGGCGTCAGGTTGGTCCATTATCACACCACCACAAAGTGCCACAGGATCTCTGCACGCCTCCTCTCCATCCTGGACCTCTCTTGTGAAATTCATGGAGGAGTCCTGGACAGAAGTTCTCCCTCTCCAGGACACGTGTACACCGGGGAGTGATGGCAGAGGGCTCTCAAAGGTTTGAAAGTAAGCCACAGACTTGGCCTCACAAGGATGCTGAAGACTGTGACAGCTACATAAGCAAGCACAATGCTTGGTAATCTACAGTGCATGCGCTATCTGGCTAGCCCCAAAGAGCGCTTCAGCTCTTTCACTGGAGAAACCTCCTTTTTTTTTTAAGTCAGAGTACTGATCTTTGTGCAAAAGAATCCACTACATTTTGACACATTATGCAGGAAATTGGCTCCTTTTCATTAAGGATGCAAAAGCTTGATGGTCATGCCAGATTCGTGCAAGTATTTGGCCTGCTCTGAAACCACCAGAGCTGCCTGTTCCAATAAGCTTTCCACAGATGCACATCAGTATCCCCAGCACAAAATAAGAACCCCAAATTTCTGATCGAAATAAAGGATAAAAACTATGGGAGTCTGTAGAGCGAATCATCCTCACCGCATAGAAGGAGAATATGGGAAATATTTTATATCATTTTTAAACACCACTTCCCGTATTTATTAAATACAAGGCCACTCATCCCTTTGTTTTGTGTACAAGCTGTGTTTCTGTTTTCCGTTGCTCACTTCTCTCAGAACCTCTGCTCAGCTCAAGAGCTTGTTGATGGACAGACTAAATATGCTGCTTTAACCAGTTTTGTGATTCTGGGCTCCACACTGAAATCTTTGTGCATATCCAGCAAGGACACCACTCAGCAGAAACTGCAGTTATCTGTTCTGCAGAATAAAAATGGGACAAACAAGCAAAACTATTGAAGAATGTTGTTTATACTAGGCTAAACTCTGCTCAGCTACAGAAGGGTAACCGTATTTGAAATAAACAGAAATGGCCACTTGTGACAGCTGCATTTCATCTCCTCCACAATGGCAATGGGAAAAAGAACAAAGTGTATCAGTGCTAAGAATATTTTAATAGGACTAGGATTAAACTTAATTGCCTTGTCTTAAGAGATCATTTTATCAAATCCACTGCCTTACTCCCAGCTAAAGCCCAGTCAGCATGCCTCTGGCTCTTTAAAATAGTGAGAGAGCAAGAGAGCATTTTTTCCACATGTTAAGGCAGGCATGAGGCATTTCTACTTTGTCTGGAATAAAACATGTATGAGAGGTGCTGTTTATTTGTTACTTCCAACCTCACCTGTGAATGCTTGTGGCTGCTGAAGCAGGAGTTTATGGCAGTATGTTTCTAGGATCATGAGGCTGATGGCATTTTGTTTACCTCTGCTTTGCTATAAATAGGTGAGTGAGCAACCCCAGATGTAACACTTCTGCTCTGGGTGTAAGGATTTCCTTCGCCGAGTTCCTAAGTGGTGAAAGTGAAGATTTAATCAGTCTTTACACTTTTATATTTTTTAAATTATTTAACTTTTATTACTGTTGCACCATTTATACAATTACATATAATTTCAATGCATCCATTGTACATTTTGTTTTTTCATTTGTTTTCCAATGAGTGTGTGTTGGTGTCTGTGACACAGAATGGAAGAGAAACTGGAACTGCAATGAACGCAGACTTTTTCATTTCCACTGACCAATAAACAGAACTACAGGTGCACCCAACCACAGACATGCATTAACTCGTCATGAGAAATCTAGGTAGGCTAAGTAGGATGAGAATGCTTTTTACTCCCAAAAAATATTTGGAGAGGAAGAATTGGAGGATTGGCATTGAGAAATATGTGGACAGCTAAGTGGGTTTTGTCTGAAAGTTGGCATTCATCCACTGCATAAAAAAAATATCAAAATAAGAAAGGCTGTAAATAAAATTTAAAAAAAAAATAAAATAATAACACAGAAAATACTGCTTTCATAAAGATCTGATTGCCTTGGCACAAACCCAGTGGGCAGAATCAAACACATCACTCCCAAACCCCATTACAGAACAAAAAGAAGATTTTGATACATTGGTGGAATGCATTTACAGCAGTTCAGATACAAAAGATGTGCTGTACTTTCAGACATCCATCTATTTTACTTTTTTTTTTTTTAAATCCAGGACTTGTGTCAAGTTGGCAGAAAGTATATTAGATATTTCCCCACAAAAATACTATTTGGATTCTCCCCCCTCCCTCCCTCCCAGCTTGATGGGACATCCTTTTCATTTTTTTTATCCTTTTCTTTCTGGGCAATACTTATTGTTATTTCAGATCTGAAATGAGTTAGTATAGCTGAAAAAATAAAAAAAAAGACACAGGTTGTTTTAAGTGGTTGTTTCAACAGGCTGTCCAATTTAATCTTGCACTGCTATGGTTTGATCCGAATTAGTTGCTGGGGCTTCAGAAGGTTTCACTTCCTCTGGTGGGGCTGCGGGGTCCGAGGCCTTGGCAGTGGAACTAGGTGCTGCTGTGGCTGCTGCGCTCTCCTTGGAAGAAGGTGCAGCCTCGCTGCTGCTAGGTTTTGAGTCTGAAGCTGGGGCCACTTCGCTTTTAGTTTCTTGGGCTGCAGGCGTTGCGGGAGCCTCAGTCTTTTTGGCTTCCCCTTCTTCTTTGCTCTTGTCATCTGCTTTGCTGGGAGCTGTGGCTTCTGAAGGCTGGGAAACTTTTGCATCACTGCTAGGCTCAGAGGTTTTGGGTGCTTCGCTACTGGCAGCAGGAGCAGAGGCTGCAGTTGGCTCCTCTTGCTTGGGTGCCTGTTCATTGTTCTTCTGTGGCTCTACTTTCGCATCGACAACAGCCTCTGACTTCTCTGGTTCTGCTTTCTGGGTTTCTTCCTGGGTCACTGTTTTCTCTTTCTCCCCTTCTTTTTCTTCTGTCTTGTTGGCAGCAACCTGAGAATCCTTCTCGCCCTTCTCCTCCTTGTTGTTCTCCTTCACTTCTGTGGTCTCTGTGGTTTGCTGGGCATCCTCA